TAGGAGTTCGGCAAGGCTGTATACTGTTGCCCTGCCTATTTAACTTATATGCAGAGCACATCATGAGAAAGGAGGGGCTAGATGAATCACCAGTTGGAATTAGGATTGCTGGGAGAAATATCAACAACCTCAGATATGCAGATGATGCCACTCTAATGGCAGAAAGTGAAGAGGAACTAAACAGCCTCTTGATGCAGGTGAAGGAGGAGAGTGCAAAAGTTGGCTTGAAACTCAACATTAAGAAAACTAAGATCATGGCATCCGGTCCTCTCACTTCCTGGCAAATAGATGGGGAAGAAATGGCGGTAGTGACAGATTTTATTTTCCTGAGCTCCAAGATCACCGCAGACAGGGACTGCAGCCAAGAAATTAAAAGACGCTTGCTCCTGGGGAGGAAAGCTATGACAAATCTAGACAGCATACTAAAAAGCAGAGACATCACTCTGCCAACAAAAGTGCGTATTGTCAAGGCTATGGTTTTCCCAGTTGCAATGTATGGCTGTGAAAGCTGGACCATAAGGATTGAGGCCTTTGAATTGTGGTGCTGGAGGAGACTCCTGCGAGTCCCTTGGACCGCAAGGCAATCAATCCGGTCAGTCCTAGAGGAGATCAACCTTGACTGCTCTTTAGAAGGCCAGATACTGAAGATGAAACTCAAATATTTTGGTCACCTAATGAGAAGGACTCCCTGGAGAAGAGCCTAATGCTGGAAAGAATAGATGGCAAAAGAAGAAGGGGATGGCAGAGGATGAGGTGGCTAGATGGAGTCACTGAAGCAGTTGGTGTGAGCTTAAGTGGACTCTGGGGGATGGTGGAGGACAGGAAGGCCTGGAGGAACGTTGTCCATGGGGTCATGATGGGTTGGACACGACTAGCTACAACAACAAAACATGGCGGCTATTGGTAATTATTATCTGTGCTAGTCAAGTGAAAATGACTTGTACAGAACCAGAATACCTCATTCACCAGGAACAAATACTAAGGCACTGTTATAATCACCATGTTTGTGAATGGCCCAGAGGTGTCTGGTAAGTTAATATCAGGTCCATAAAGCTGTACTGGATGGTTCTTTAGTCTGATCCAGCCAAAGTATTCTCTGAGGTATGAATAGTGTCTGCTGCGAGACTGACAATGCTTCCACTTCCAACATCCTGGATATACATTTTGGAAATCCACTCAACCCTTGCCAAAAAATACCATGAGATGTTAATGTCCTGTGCCTCACAATATGGTACCTTAAATGCCCAACTGTTCAAGGAATTGTGAGCCACACTTATCACCCAAATGACTTAGACCACAGTGAGTCAAATGTTGTGAGTTTCAAAAATTTTGGAAACTATTGGCTTCAAATAATGCATAACATATGTTCATGACCAAAGGTGAATTAACTACACAATGCAGAGAAAGCTTCACTGGTGTCACTGGGACACATGTATGGAACTTTGGAAACTCATTCGGTGGTTTTGCATGTGATGACAACCCATCATGGTAAATCATCATGATGGGTTGCCATTAATGAGCCTGAAAGGTTCAGATTCATCAGGGTTGCTTTACATCCTACCCACACCTGCTTTTCTCTCAATCCCTGCTGGAGGTATTCCAGCACATAACACAGGGAGGAATAAGACTCCCGCCTTTGACAGGCATGAACCCAGTCATTGTACAAATCTGCATTCACAGAGAGCAGCCTGGTCTTCCAAAACATATTTCTGCTTTGACTAAACTGTTATTGGTAGGAATAAATCATAGAAAGGAAACAGCATCAAAGTACTATCCTGTAAATATAATCTAGTTATATCTTTGAGAAGATCTGCTTAGGCTACATTAATATATAGAGATGAGCAAGAACTGACATTTTAAATATACAGATTCCCCTGTAAAACCTACTGGAAACTGTATTTCACCATAGAAAATGGAGGCAGTTGGACAGAGTTGCCTCAAGCCAAAATAACTTGCTTTCATCAAGGAATATTCATATCATGTATGTCGATCAGGATGCATTTCAAGCTGTGACAAAATCCAGAGTCTGTCATAGCAAATGACAATAAAGGGACTACAATATATCTCTTAGCCTTTAAGATGTTACAAGACTCTTTGTTATTTTGGGCTAGGATATAACTGTCATATCCTGGTACAAATGTATCAGACCATATGTGATAAAAAAAACCCTTCCCCCAAGGAAAACAAGTTTTTCATCTGATAGATTTAACAAGCTTAAATGAATTCAGCTGCTGCATCAATTTATTTCCCTACAGATGAGTTTACAGTTTCTTTAATAAGTCTTGCTTCTGAGATAATAATTTTCTGAACTTCAGCGGCAGTTCAATGTACATTTTATTGGTAGTGAGCCACACTGAACACAATGGGAGTCAAGTCTAAGTAAACATGGACAGGGTTACATTGCAGAACAGCAATGGAATTCTTATGTTTTCTGGTTATATGTGGCAGACGTTATTGTATGCAACATCACAAGAAAGCAAAACTCCCTGGAGAAGATGAAAATGCTAGGGAAAGTCAAAGGCAGAAGACCAACTATGAGATGCATCCATTCCATAAAGGAAGCCACAGTCTTGAGTTTATAAAAGCTGAGCAAGGTGGTCATAGACAGGATGTTTTGGAAGGCATTCATTCATAGGGTCGCCATAAATTGGAGATGACTTGAAAGCATGTAACAGCAACAATATTACAGAACAGAAGTAATGCAAATACCCACATACAAAAGGAAAAAAATAGATAGTTCAACTGAAACTAGATTAGGGTTGAGCAGATTTCCATAGCTCCATTGATTTGCCCAAAATTCTTATATTCTTTGGGTTATGCTCTACTGATCTTCAGGCAAGTACTGAAATTTTTGGAATGCTGATAACAGATTCTGCACATGAGTCCTCACAGCCTAATAGTTAATTAAAAAGATAAAATTAATAACCATTTCCCTAAGATACCTTTTCTTAAAATATGTTGTAATTATTGCATTCCTTCAGGAAGTAAAATAAGCAAACAAACTACATCAATTCTGGATGTCTTTTAGTAATTTTAAAAATGGTGAGAGAACATTTTTTTCTTGCGGACTGATTGTGTTTTTTAAAAAACCAAAGTAATAAGAAATGATTATGGGTCACTGCAAATTTCAGAGCACATCTTGGTGGAATCTAACTTCACAAGTTTTGACTAGGCTTGCATGTTGACCAATGGATTGCATCCAAAAGTTTTTCCACTGATGGAGGAAACTCCTTGCATAAAGGAGTTTTCCCACAGCTTTTAGGAGCAAGACTGTTAGAAACATGTTCTCATTTCCTGTACTTTTCCTTTGGAGCCTGGTGCCCTGTGAGGTTTTACATGGAAAGAGTGGAGACCAATATTACCTGTGAAATTGACCCCCTTATAGACAACTCAACATTTGCTGTTTTCCCAGCACAAAGCAGAACCTGTTCCTTTTTTAAAAAACTAGATGCTACATCAGTGAAGCTAACATTAAAAGAAAGAAAAAAGGAAGAAAAAAAATCTAAAACTTCACACACCATATTCTATTTCTATCTCACCTAGATCAGGTAATCGTATTTTATATTTGTTAGGATTATATATGATTCTTCTTTATATTCAAAAATCACTGGTGTGTGCTTTATATTAATTAACTATTTTACACTGATACCTCATTGAATTACAATTTCCACAGTCCTAAGATATATATTTGCAGGCAAGAGGAATCCTGGAAAGGTGCATCATGTTGGTGCACACAGATTTCGATGCCTCAGATAATATCCCTTACTAGAAGCTTACTCTTTTTACTCCAGCTACAAAATAAAATGCATTTACTTTAATAAGCATCATCTTAGCTGATGTCTTACCTAGTTAGCATAGCGACAATATAAAAACTATACATATATTAAATATTTTATAAATTTTAAATAAGATGTTTGAAATAAAATTAAAAATGGAGGCTTGAGATATATAGGCATGTTCTTACTTTCTTCAGAAAGATCATTTTCTTCTGCTTCTCTCTCCATCTCTTTACACCAACCTTCCATCCTCTTAGTCTCAGTATGTAGTAACTTCATAAACCAAGACCCGTCTCTTCGACATGGAGACATCCGTCCAGTTTCAACTGCCTCAATAGCTGGTTCTAGCCAGGGCTCAGGTGGTGGGAGGTTGGAGGTGTCTACCGGGGTCCTATAATCTTCTCTGTAACTGAACAGGCCCTGTGTCCGTACAGTTCTTACTGCACCATACTGAGTGGGGGTGCTGGGTTCCGAATGCCGTTGGAAAGAGCCACCAAACTGAAGTCCTTTATCTTCCATTGTTATGTGTCCTGGAAATCCTTCAAGTTCTAGGTCCGCTTGAACAGCGGCTGTGACACTGTTCGAGCGCTTAAACCGTCCATGCCTATGGAGGAATGGAAAAGAACATATACATTCATATGTTGACAAAAATATTCTATAGACAATGATTCATTCTGCTCTGTGGCCATTCTGGCTGACTGCTGCTGTTGATAATTCAGAAATGTTAATAAAAATAAACATGATGACTTGAATGAAGCAGAAGGATGAAGCACAGCCCACACAGGACAGACTGTTACTATTGATCCAAAGAAAGATATGAATGAAAATCATTGAAATCACACTCGGAAGCATATATTGATTTGTTCCCACAGTATCGCCCCCCGCCCGCCCAAATCATTTTGAAGTGACCTGGAATATCTTGCAAATGCTGCAGTTATTCATGCTGTCACTGAAGTAAATAAAGTCAAATAAATGAAATATAAATCTTTGGCTAAAATAAGGGGTGGGGTGGAAAAAGGTTGTGCATGGTCTGCAGCAATTCAAGACAAACATTAGAATACACACATGTCTGTGCATGAGCGTACATACATCATACCATATGTACACACACAGAGAAACACAGACAAAGTTTTGGGCGGCGGGGGGGGGTGACTTTGTCTGACATACCGTTTATCATCCTCCACTTGCACTCCAACTGAATGATATTCCCGTAAGCCTCTGCTCTCCGTATCTGAATCAGTGGCTGTTTCCACCTAGTTCAACACAAAAGATAAATCTGCAGAAGTGAACAGTGAAGATCCAGATAATTACTACTCCACAGAATTAAATTAATGTTATATTGTCTCCTTGTGTCTAGCTATCTAGGCACAAGCATTTTTATTGATAAGGGTGTTATGTCAATTTCCATGCAAATTACTGGCAAGGAGGTGCACCTAAGGCTGCTGTATCCAGATTTCCCCCTCAGTGAATGGAAGGGCTGCTTCGGTTTGCAGAGAGAAATGTGATCCTTTGGAGGCTTTCCACCAGCAAAAGGGAGTAGGACAGCATTTTTATTTTCTGATTCCTTTTTCTCCCTGAAGCTTCCAGTTCTATCTCCTGAGTCCGCCTGCCTCCTGTAATAGTGTGGGAGCTGGCTCTGGAGCCTGAATGGGGAAGGGGAAGTTGAAGAAAATATCGAGTCCACCCACTTTCTCCAGGAGCATCAGAACCACTGAGGTCAAGTTTGGATCCAACTCATGGTTTCCACTCACATGGCAAAAACCTACATATGTACAACCTGTCCATGTACAGGATCTGTGCACACAAAGCCCATGAACACATGGAGGTCAGTAGAGAGGAGAGCAGAGAGGATCTGCCAGAAACCTCATCACCACAGGAATTTCCAGCATTGAAGTAGCTGATTAAAATTGAATTTTAATTAATATTTCAAAAGTTCTGAATGTTAAATTCTTGGTGCCAGAAAACCAATACAAGAGACATAGTTATCATTTTGTGCAGCTTGCCAATGCTGACACCGACTAAATACCCCAGTGATTACTTCCACATTTTAATACCTTTCATTTGCTTGCCAGGCCTGGAAGCAGAAACCAATGCCAAATGAGGATTTTCTATGCAATTTGGCAAAGCAAATATTTTAATGCCAAGTTCAGAAAAATAAATCTGGGCAGTGAAGAGGGAAGAACAAAATCCAAACAAACAAACAAACAATGGAAATAGGAGCTTTTACTTTCCACGTAGAAAGAGGTGAGGTTTTACTTTGTATGAACACAGGGGAAAAATCATGATCAATTCTGCAATAACAATAGTATAAAATAACACTTCAGAGTGTCCGAATCAAAGTAGTTCAGATCACATCTATTTTACAGTTGGATCGTGCTATTCCCCTAGATGCTGTGTTCAGTAAACTGTTAATCTGGATTAGGGAGTTACTGTCATGATCTCTATCGAAGGAATCAAAGGCTTTTTAAAATCTACAAATGCTATACAACTTATTTACAATTCCATACTTGTTCAGTACATAATATGCAAGGTCAAAACAATTATCTGCAGCAGAGTAGTCTGAATTAAACAAATGTGTGCTGAAAATTTCTTCCACCATTTGGGTCCTTTGCCTTCTACTTGACAGAAAATCACTTGCTTTGGGGAAAACAAGTCCAAAGGAGAGGAAAATTTCAGAGAAATTCTGATTGGATGCCCTCACTTGCAAGGTGGCTGAGGGGAGCGTGTCAGTGCCGTGTCTTTCAATGTACAGGCATCTCTCCAGTGGTCTGCAGTTCAGTCAAAATCCAGGGGCAGATATCTTAAGGTAACTCCCCACTTGGGGCTTTTCCAGATCAGGAGGCATGATTAGCTGAGGAGACTACAGAGTGATAGAGGGGCGTGCAGGAGTAGGGAAACGAGAAGCACCCAGCACACTCAGCACCTTGCAAGGAAAAGGTAAGCACTGAAAGGAGGCCTGAAGTTGCCTGAGAAGGAGGCAACATACCAGTTGCCCCTTCATAGCAGAAAAAAACTGTTGGGAGCCTGGAGGACAGGTTTTGGTGCAGATCTGATACGACTTCCCTAGAGATAGTCACAGCACTGCCCCCACCTCTCACGCACTACAGAACATGCAGGGAAGGAGGGGAGGAGGCATCTACATTAGGTACAACTACCAGAAATTTAGCATTAGGAAGATAATAATCCTGAAGAATAACCAGACTGGATCCAAATTCCTCAGAAGCCATTTGACAAGAAATTTGAGAGATTTTTTTTCTTACACCAAAACAGAAGTCCAGTGAAGAATTTAATGCACCATTTTTTGTGGTGGATACCTTCAACATATCTCCCCTACTTTCTGCACCATGCAATGCCCTGAAGTAACGGTACAAAATGATGACCAACCTGCCAACACAAACCCTTGGAGAGAAAAGTAAGAAGCTGTGCTACACTCATTATTAATGGTGAGCCCTACCTCCAAAAACAGTATGGGAAATTCATTTCCCTGTGCCCCCCCTTTTTTCTGTCACAAATTTGGGAAGCCATCTGCACACAGGCTTATTTGAAATCTTTCTGGTGTATCAGTCCCCCTTCCCCTCCACAATTTGTAATCACACTTCAAATTCATATAATAATTACTTGGCATAAAATTTAGCCAAAACATTCATTAGGCATTTCTAAAACTAGAATACAGGTGGTGGATCCTTCTCTTATGGGTAGGAAGAGAACGGAATGGCATTGGAGGCTGTAATTTATGCCTGTCCATCTTATCCATGGATTCAGCCAAAAAAACTGTATCTGAAACTTTACCTTTATAAGAAAGGCATGCATATATTTGACATATTGTACAGTAGAGATTATTGTTACTATCTGGCTGGCTGACCTTCCCCTTACAATCTCCTGTTAGCTCCTGAGATGGAGCTGTGAAGTGAGGGAAACCTTTCTCCCTAGCACAGAGTTAGGCGAAAGCCTGGCTATGGTGAAAGAAAGGATGCGGCTACAGAAATATCTGACTACGTGAAAAAGGAGAATGGATGGGTGTTCCTTTGCATTATTATGGTATATTACAGCCTTTCCCAAATTAGTGCACTCCATACATTTTGGGGTTCAACTTCAAGAATTCCCACTGATACTGGACAGTGCAACGATAAAAGAAAGGTGTATACATATTTTTCCTGGAAATCCACTATATTCTATTTCTGCTAGTATGAAAGATTACCAACACAGTTATTTAACACCATTAAGACAGGGAAAACATACTGTGAATGATCAGACTTATAAAGGTGACACGGTACCATAATAATACATTTAATGTATTGTTGGTAGAATTGTAATAATATATCTGTCCTTTGGCAAGATTATTAAAAGGGGTTCATGAACTGACAGGATATAATTTATCATTGGAAGCTTTAATCATTTTGCTTGGTTCCTAGGGAAAAAAAAAATCTGAAAATGCATTATTGACCCCAGCTAATATGAAAATGAAGCAAGATAGAAATCTCAGGAAAGAATGTCGTGTTTATAATTTTTACACTGGTAATATCTTCCTTAAGCAATGTTCAGAGAATGTTTTCTCCTCACATTAATCCCGGTAGACACATCTTGATGAGGGAGAATGACATAACTAAGGCTACTCAGTGGGTTTCACACTGAAGACCAGCACTTGGATTTCTTGTGTCCAAACTGATATACTTCGACACCTTAGGTAGCTGAACTGGTAGCTGAATGAACTAATACATTCACTATTTAGTTAACAAATTAAGAAATAAAGTAAGAAAATGTAAGGGATGACAAAGTTCTAATTAGCTGTGAAAAAAAAATTTCATCCCATTGGATCAGATCCGTCAAAAATGCACCTTATTATCCACCTTGTAACTTTACAAAATAACTTTATTGGTAATGACATGCTCATGAATATAATAAACTGAATATGTATCTAAATATTAATCTGATACCAGTACCAATGGCTTGATCTCTCTTCTTGTAAAGGTATTGTGCAGTTGATTCCTTGCTACCCTACCCATTTGAGCCACACTCAGAATAAGAGTGTCTGCCAAAGCTTTGTCCAACCAGTTGTCCTGCAGATTTTAGGGCTCCTATCAGTCCCAGACAACATGGATGGAAGTTATAGTCCAGAAATTGTGAAGAGTAAATTAGCTTTCCTCAACCTGGTTTATTTTGAATTCAAAATTCAAAATCATGATGACTTTTAAACAGTCTCATACCACACGAGCCTTAGGCATGCTGTGGCAAACTCAAATGGCAAAGTAGTGGTATGAATCCATCCTTTGTCCTTGATATTGCTCAGATCATTATCAAGTGGAATAAAATAAGGAAGCATTCAATGCAGCTTGTTGTTTTGCATAGAGCAAACTTCCATATGCAAAGATCTCTAGTTTTAAAAGACCATGGAAGCACTGGTTCGTTAAATTATGGAATATACATGCACACAGCAAGAACCCGTATCTGCTAGTTCAGTTACCACTTTTTTACTTAACCATGGTTGACCTCAGTTCAAAAGAGAAGTCATATAGTGAAGGTGTAAAATTTAATCATATAGTGCCAAAGAGAAGATGGAAAGTGCTTCTTTTAAGTGAAAATTCTTGATGTAACTCTAAGGTTGCTAGGATGTATGGAAAGAGCAAACCTTCTATCCATGAAATGGTGAAAAAAAGAAATGTATACACACAGTATATAGTGTATACCGATGCCTGTAATTTTCAGGCATCTGCTGGGAGGCTCGGAACCTACTCCTGTTGATATGGGGCCCTGCTGGCTGTGTGTGTGTGTGTGTGTGTGTGTGTGTGTGTGAGAGAGAGTTATTATGAAATATTAAGGTCACGGACCATGGCAGCAACAAAAGCTATTCCCAACTTTATATGACAGCTGCAAAGTCAGAAGCAACATTTCCTAGAATAAATGCGTATGATGTAAAGGAGAGATGCACAACCATTAAACACATGCAGTTCATATGCACCTAGAGCAATAGCGGCTCCCTTTTACACGTCCTGTTTAGAGATCTGTGTACCCCTTCGTATACTGAAACCCTGTTGTGGGGAAACACAGTGGTTTCTAGCTGCCAGATAATTTGAGAAGTTTATCTGAGATAAATTTGAAATTAAACAGAAAATAGGGATTGTGGAGAAAAAGCTCAGTTAGTTAATGTGTAGCTTGGATTCGGAGGAGGTTCTTTGACTTGAATACAGAATGCATGATTGTTTATTGCTCCAAAAATCTTGGTTCTGGAACTGCTCTGTATGAAATTCCTAATAGATAGAGTAGGCGATTTTCACCTGCAGCACCAAAAAGTTAAAATGCACAGCATCACATCAGCTTATTGGCATAGTTTAAGCTGCATATCGCATATTGCAACTGTTGGTTTAGAAGCTGGCATATGACTTTTTAAATAATCTGTAATTAACACTTCTGCTACAAATGGAAATACAGATGCACTGCAGTGTCACTGCACAGTTCTCTGATAAGAAGCTAGTGATATTATTAATCTGATAATTATGTAAATAAAGCCATTTTCTCAGGTGTTTTAAATGCAGTCTTCATTGGAGACCAACCAGGTTTATGATAAAGATGATTTGTATATTGTAAACATTAAAAGTCACACTTTGTTTATTTATTGTAACCATGGCAGTAGCTATGGCAAAATATATTTTCTTTCACAAGTGGCACAGCTATAAAGGGTTTGAACTGCACAAGTTATTTATGTGTAATTAAATAATATAGCTGATTTTATATATTTAGTTTTGTAAGTGCTGTATTCTCACAGGGATTCCCCCATGGAATGGCTGTAAGTCTTTGTCCTACTACAAACATTCCTTTCCTTTCCTTTTTTAAATCTATACCTTTTGCAAATAATGTTTGCAATTTGCTGCACTTGAAAGCAAGCCAAAGGGGCTGAACATCAGATGCTTTGTTGCTATAGAGATTCAACTCTATTTGTGTAAACTGCTGGACAAATATATTTACAGATTTTGTAAGTCCACAAAACCAAATCAGCTAATAGAAAGACAGATATTGCTCTTGCAAAAAGCATCACATTAAAAGGTGTGTTGAGGGGGGAGAAAAAGTATTAAATTATGACACAAGAACATCTTTATTGTGTAAAAAGCAATGGGCAGGAGGTATTGGTCTGATCACAGTTTTGGACCCAGGAACCACACAAAACATGAGAACGGCCATCAGCATCTTCCCTGTTTGAGGAAGGAAGTCTCAATGGGAACGAATGTACTGTCTGAAAATCCAAAGTATCAAACAGTCTTCTGAGCTTTTCATGATTTTCTGTCAAAGCACTCCTTCTTTAAAAACAAAAAATGAAACTCCATTGCAGGCTACTGCAGCATGAATCGTTACAGCTCCACGCTTAATTACTGCCTAAGCATACAGGAAATAGCTGACCTGACCATTTTATGTTTATGCTAAATTGCACTCCATACATTAGTTGTAGCAAAGTCACCTCACCGAGGTAAAGAGATAGATTTCTATCTAAACCCAGTGGCATTTTATAGGCCTAGGACTTTGGCTAAAATGAACCCCTGGAACGTTTAGTGCAAAACTGCTTTTAGAAGATCTCTTTTAAATGAGACATATATAATCATGGTGCTTTCATGGCATCTCTTTAAATCCGGCAATAATTATTGTTGGCAGAATGGCTTTTGTTTAAAAGGGACAGTTGTTCACTTAATGAGCATGGGTTTTCATCAGGGCAACCACCTCTCTCCATTCCATAAGACAAAGCAAAGATGCTTGAACTATCCGGAGAGCTGCATGCAAATTCAGCATTCACCATGCTGCCATATTGCCATGAGAAACAAAATAAAACCTGAAGGAGCTTAACCTGTATCTAATATTTTGGGTGCATGTTTATTTTGCAGAATCAAGGGCTATCCCCCTTTTCCTTCTTCTGAAGACCTCGAATCTTTACGTAGGTAACCCGGATGGTCTTTAATTTATTAATTATTTTCTATAGCCTTTCAGTGACCAATCAGCTGAAACCATACAGCTGCTTTGTAAACGTCCTTTATGTTCTAGAATGTGGATTAACATGTTCAGTTCCTGGAATGAACCCATATCCTTAGGTATACATAGGTCTTGAGTGTTGCCACATCTGTAGCCAAACCTTCCTTCACAGAAATACTGAGGTTAGAAGGTGAAGACATTGCAATGTGGTGTTGCAGGTCCTACTATATAAGGAACTGAGTACTATAAGTGGGATCCAACTTTTAGTAAGAACGCCATTCCCTAGGTTTAGCACACTCAGTGAATCAGCCCTGAATCTAGCACATTACTATTTTGTGCTGAATAGCATCCTGAGCCTTAATTCAAGCATGCAAAATGGGTTTGCACAGTCTTAACATGGGGACATTATCATCCCAAGTTTTAAGAAGGGGAAGCACTCATTTAAATACCTCCTTGTGTGAAATCTGCCCTTATGTCAATGATTTGGTAGGTCAAACCTGGTGTGTAACAGTTTGTGCAGAGAGATGTTTTCAAAGAAACCATGGAATATTCCCTCACTGTGCACATTTCAATGTGTCCTCTTTTCCTTAACCAATGAAGGGGTGTGAGGAGAGCAATGTTGCAAGTCCTGTTCTCTTTTCACCCATCGCTTCATTTCTGGCTATTTACACAGCAAATATCCTTTAAATACCATCCTACAATGGCTATATACTTAAAACCCCACCATTAAGGAAGCACAATGCAATGCAGTGTTCTTCCTCTGGAGGTGAAATAGGGAAGAACAAATCGCTTAAGCCAGGACCTTTCTTTCCAGGTCAAAAAATTAGGAATTGTTGACAGTAGTCAGTAACTTTACTGCTGGCAGAAGTCTCTATAAAAGATTCTGAACTGAGAGAGAGACAGAGGGAGAGAGAGAGAGGTGGACGTACTGTTCACCTGTGGCTGAGCAGTATAATTTTCATATCAGGGTAACTTGCCTGGAGATATATTCATTCATTCATTCACTCACTCACTCACTCACTCACTCACTCACTCACTCACTCACTCACTCATTCATTCATTTCCAGGCACTGCACATTGGCCGAACCCTTTTCTGCATGGCTACATAGCCATGATGTGAATTACAATTAATGCTAAGCAGCCTGGGATTGTTGCTCAGGTTATTAGGAGCTGCTGGAGCCAAATGACTCATTTGGAGCTATTTATGGAGTGGAGACGAGCAACTCGTCACAGCACAGATGCTCACGGTAGGCTACCTGAATCCCTATAGACGAGCGCCGACTCTTCAGGAACTCCTCAGCTTTTGTCACAAGGATGGCCTTGTCGCTGGTGCGTACCGAGGCGCCCTGGCCCTCCGACAGGTGGCGTTGTGCAGCGGCAGTTTCCATGGCGAGGTTCATAGCCTTGTTGCTGTCCAGACTGTCTGTGGAGTTGTACATCCCTCGACTGTCCTGAGGCCACGGGGAGATCCTCTGAGTCCGGCTATCGTGATAGGCATCCTGGGTTGATTCTGTGCTGCTCTGTGCTGTAACTGAGATTAGTGGCTTAGAGGTGGTTCGAGGAGGTACAGGCGGTGGTGTTTTTTTGTAACTTGTGTAAGTTACAGCTATGGAAGATATTCAGAAAAAGAAAGGAGCGGGAACACGTGATTAATACAAGAAGCACCATTGCAATTTATGGACAGAAAAATGGCTTAAGGCTGATTATGCTGCTTAAAAACCAGAAGCATTTACAAAACAGATTCGCCAATGGACCTCACAATCAGCATAAATTCTCATATACAGAATGCGTAGCCATAGCAACAGGTTCACGTCATCTCAGACAGGAAACTACAGCTGTGGTTGTTCCTCTTGCTCCGAGAAGAACCTTCAGCCACTATGCACATTACAAAGGAGCTAGCAGAGAAGTTCAGTAGATAAGATTAAGGTTAGACAGATTGTCAGGAGTGTGGATTTGAGAGTGCATGCATGTCCTCTAATACCCTCTTGGGCTGCATGGGGTGCCGTTTTCGCCTTCCCCTCTATTCGAAGCTGGCACAGGTTCTGCAGTGACCTAGTGGATGGGGACAAGTTTGTGGATTGACTCGAATGCACTGGGCTTCTCAAGACCTGGAGCAAGGCAGAACAGAATTCACCTAATTTTTCCACTATGGAAGATTAAGAGTAGGGTGGGGAGAAACATAATGACTCAAAATCTTGCTGAGATTTATGAGAGCTGGAAATGGTCATCGTTGAAATATAATGCTCAACTTCAGTTTTTTCTCCTCCACCAGGATGTGTTCTTTCCCCTAGTCAGGAGAGTGCCTTGATCAGTTTTAATTTGCCTAATTTTTGTGGCATAATAAAGGCATGGAGGGTTGATTGGGAAAGAGTGAAAATATTGAGTGGCAAGGCATTTCGTAGACTGCTGTTGCGTGCAATGAAGCCCCAGGGAGTTCCTTCTCCAATGCCAAGCCCTTACAGGAAAAGCAGAGGAAGAGAAGGGAGAAACTTGTCTGCAAGCTACTGCTACCACCACCCCTGTGAGGCTCCTTTACTTCAAAGCATCCCCCTACCATAAGCATGTCACAAAAGGGAACGGCATGAAAAGTCAGTTCTGTCTGGTTCTAGAGTAACATTTCAGTTGTCCCTCAAAAGAAGCAGTCCTGAAAGCTTTCACAAGTATTGTCAATATGCATTGTCTTTTATATAAACTAGGCTTTCTGCTCCTTGTATCTTCACTTTAATCACATAGCAACACTGTATTGCCTAACTAGCAAACAAACCTTCTATCATTACAGAGGTTGGAATAACCCCCAGTCTGAAACAGTAAAGCTCTTCAGCAAATGCATCAGCTATGTTCATTATCGCATCAGCTGTGTAGGCATCACATTGTGCCCACCCTGCCTGAGTTTAAGCATGCTCATGACTCCTGTGTCCTGCCATGGTGCATCCCTGAGGGAGGCTGCCCCACAGAAATGGGGATGGGGCAGACCTCTGGCCCTCAGTACACCAACCTCCCCTGACTTCAGACTGTATCAACTTGCAAAGCTATACATTAGTTGGGAAAGTCTTCCCACTATGACTTAAAATGTTACTTCATATGTCAACCACATGAACACATTTACATAAATTGAAATTAATGCATTCATTTGGGAAACAAAATAACCTATGGGTTTCCTTAGGATTCTTGGCAGGTTTCTTGGTTTCATGGTCTTGCTGTTATGGCACAGAGAAACAAATACACATCCTTCTTTACTATTATAGATGAAGCACTGTACACAGAGAGAGAGAGAGAGATGAAGCACTGTATATACCCCTACATACATACATACATCAGTATATGTTTATTATGGAAAATATCTTACTATGTTTGAGTAGAATGTTATCAGTAAAGCAGAACTGACTGAAAATGTTTTTCTGCCTGAGGTACAGCTACAAAGTACAGCCCTCCGTCCCAAGTCAAGTTGCATAGAACCTAAGGACAGTTAAGTTATTTTGGCACCTGAAGCAGAAAATCCTATAGTTGCCTCTCCTGAAAATAAAAATACAATGCAAATTACATCTCTGCCAATGCGCTGCCCTTTCATGGCACCCCAAATCAGCTTCCCGAGACAGCTGTCTCATTCTGCCCACAGTTGGGGCAGGGCCTTGAGTCACGATTAATCACACAAAACATAACTATGTGGACAACTGTTTCCACAACAGGCATAATCCAGCCATTAAAGATCTTCCCACCATTTCACATGCACACAAAAGAGTCCTACCAGAACAAAATGAGCCAGGTTACAAGAAAAATAAACCCGTGTTGTAAGGGATATGCAGCTATTTGGACTGACTGGCTTGTACCCAGAGCTTTGCAAACTAATAGTCAGCTTGCATGTCTATGTCTATGTCTACATCTACATATACTGAATACTACCCACGCACCTATAGTATATTACCTACTTTTGATGGATGGGTGGGCAGAGAAACTGCAGATTGCAATAAAAGGTTGTACAAAATGGTGACTTTTCATGAAAAAATCACAGTCACTCTAGAATGTGCTCAGGTGCAAGTTCCCTGCCAAAAATCTCACCCCCAGGACTTTTCCCCATAGATACTGTTTACTAAATGATCTCCCTAGCAAAGGTGAAGTACAAACTGAAGGATCAGGTTTGCAGCTTGAGATTGATAGGCAAATGTTCATATAGCCCCTTATTATTTTGAATGAGTTCAAATCTCCAGGGCCTGATAAACTGCATACTTGAATAATAAAGCAACAGAAATCTCAGAACCATTGTCTATTATCTTTGAGAAATCATGGAGGGCAGGTGAAGCGCCAGATGTCTGGAGGAGGGTTAATGTTTCCTTATCTTCAAAAAGGAGGAAAAGGTTAAAACAGGGAAAAACAGACCAGTCAGTCTGACATCAATGTATGGGGAAATTCTGTGGCACATTACAAAGCAGTAAATCAGCAGACACCTTGAAAACAATGCAGTGATTACTGGAATCCAACATGGATTTGTCAAGAACAAATCTTGCCAGACTAACATGACTCTATTTTTGATCAGGTAACTTCCCTTCTCGACTATTGGAATGCTGTGAACATAATAAATCTTGACTTCAGCAAAGTCAAGGTTTTGGCTTTGTACCCCATGATTAACAAACTAGCTATAAAGTGGGCTAGATGAAACAGCTGTCCAGTGGATCCAAGTTGGCTACATAATCAGACTCAAACAGTGCTTATCAGTGGCACCATCTCAGACTGGGGAGGTGGAATGAATGGGGTACCCCAGAATTCTTCAATGTTTTTATTGATGACTTGGACAAAGAGGTGCAAGGAATGCTTATAAGATTTGCAGATGACATAAAATTGGGTGGGATAGCTAATATGAAGGCAGAAACAAAATTCAAAGTGATATTAATAGGCTGGAGTGCTGGACTGAAAACAACTGTTTAATAAGGAACAAATACTAAATTCTGCACCCAGGAAAAAGAAACTAAACACTTAGTTACAAGATGTTGATACTTGGCTCATCAATACTACAAGTGCGAAGGATTTTGGAATTGGTTTAGCTCTCAAACTGTATCTCAGTCAACAATATGATATGGCTGCAAAAAAGGCAAATGTTATTTTGGACTGCATTAATAAAGCTTCACTTCCAAAGCAAATGAAGTTCTAGCTTTCCTCTACTCAGCACTAGTTAGGTGTCATCTCGAGTACTTTGGAGTTCACAGTATCCAGTTCCTGAGTAGCTAACTAACTGATTATCCAGTTTCGGCACCACACTTTAATAAAGATGCAAAGAAACAGGAAAGGCTTCCAAGGAGGGCAAGAAAGATGATTGGAGGACTGGAAACAAAACCCTTTGGGGAGGGACCAGAACAGCTGGGCTTGTTGAATTTTGAGAAGACTGTGGGAAGGCACAATAGAGCTCTTCAAGTACTTGAAAGCGGCAGTGGAGGGCCAGCGGAACATCGTGAAAAACTTATAATACTTTTCTGCATTAGAATCATAGCATAGCAGAGGTGAAAGGGGCCGATAAATCCATCCGCTCAATGCAGGGCTCCCAGTTGAAGGATCTCTATCAGATGGCTGTCCAGTTGCATCTTCAATGCATCCAGTGTGGGGAAGCCCATGACCATCCTAGGTAATTGGTTTACATTGTCCTATTGCTCTAACAATTAGGAAGTTTTTCCTCCCCTCCCTTTCCAACCAAACGGAGCTACATCCTCCCTGCAGATGGTGCCTGCTGCTCTGTGGGCCACATGGCAGGAACATCAGAAGCTACTCAACTGGTCTGCTCTTTTGACCAGATGCCAGATGACAGGACTGACCATGTTAAATCTGCTGCTGTCTGAGTCTGCCAATTCAGCAGCGCTTCCCCCTGAAGCAAAGGTGGTCTTTTTTTCACCCGCTCCTTGGTTTATCTGAGGACAGGCTGGCCTTGCCATTTCAACTAAGAATTCCAACCTCACCTCTTCTTCCAGTTCTGATTTAGGTTCAGTTATAGCCACCTTGCAATGCAACCTCCTTGTATTTTGGGAGAAGTGAAACCAAGCCCTACATTAACCCGCATTTCAACAACAGTGTATGGGTCAATGCCCTTGAGTATGGATTATCATGTTGCTTGAACCCAGTCAGAGAGATTGAGAGGGGTGGGGGAGGACTCACTGAGGACACAGGGGCTCTCTAAACAGGTCTTGCACCATCCCTTAAGCTGGCCAACTTCTAACTAGCTTGTCTGTCCTCAAGTTTTTCTTCTGTTCATTCTATTTAGTAAAGTATATAGAACTGGAACTAACTTTGCATTAACAATGTAGGAATATGTCATAAAAAGCTTCAGGGAAAGGATTTGAAAGGACTTGGTGCTTGCATTAAGCATACCCCTCTCTATTGCTACAAATGAAGAAGAGGCCCCAGAGGAGTGTAGAAGGAAATGATCCAGAGGTAGAAGCAGTAACAGTAAGAATAGGGAGGTTACTAGACAAGGTATTGTCTGCTACAGAAGAAACTTCTTTCTTCACGAAAGGCAATAAAATATCAGCATTGTTAGATATAACACTATTAATAAATTAATTTAAGCTTGCATTTAACATAGTTGCATCATGAACATAAAAATGAAAGTAACTGGTACATTACATA